CTTTTTTGACTGGACAATGAAAGGGTGGGTCATAGTAATCATATGGGCTATTGAATTCTTCGGGCTCCTCCTGATTCCTCTTTCTCTTCCGGATCCGCTGGTTCTCTTCGTCAGAATCTTGTGCAAAGTCCACAGAAGGAGGGCCCAATTGAACCTATCCGCAGAAAGAATGACAAACCATAAGTTAACACAAATTTCAAATCGATCAAGTACTTATTACAGTTCACTTACCTCTTCTTCAATTTGCAATACGGTTGCAGGAGCCCGGTTTGACACAGTTGCTGTCACTAACCCAGGACGTCCTTGAGTAGAGGTACTAGGTGCCTGATCAAGAAAATGATAATAAAAAATCAGAGACAGATATCCAAAGTTCAAAAAGAAAAGATTATAAATCAAAAAGAAGAGACGTGAGTAACTTACAGTAGTCTTTGATCGAGATCGGTTCTGTTCACGATTTGGGATGCTTCCTCGAGCCAAATCAACACCGGGTAATGAGGCAGATCGTTCACGGCGTCGATCTTGAGTAGAGGTACTAGGTGCCTGGTTGAAAAAATGAGAATTCAAAGTTAGAGACAGAAATCAGTTGTTCGATCGAGATCGGATCTGTTCACGAAATGGGATGATTCCTTGAGCCAAATCATCACCTGGTAAAGAGGCAGATCGTTCGCGACGTCAATGGACATGTCCATCCCTGACATCTCTCACGCCACCGTTGAAGTCAAGGGCCCGTCGAGAGTCGGAACTAGGAGTGATCATCCCAGCAGGTCGTCTGGCTGGGGTGACTATGCGAGATGATCGACGAGGCGGAGCACAAGAGTTGTCGGTCTCGTATCCAGAAGTCACAAAAGAGTCGATTGTCGGTTGCTTGTTCAACATAATGGAATGGAATGATAAGATATCTAAAGCTTTATAAGTAATTGGTGTTAAGGATGTAACGGTTAAAGTAATTTGATTGGGTGATGATGAACTTGAATCGAAGAAGTTACTTTGAAAAAAGTGGTAGTTAGATGGATCAAAAAACAACAATGTGATTACGGTGTGATCAATGAGGAGGAAGGGGATGAAAAGCGAAAAAGACTTGCCTTTTCATTGCAGATCGAAGTCCTGAGGGTGATCGGGCCATGTTTTCAACCCGGATTGAACAATTCAGTGAGATTGATATGCTATTGAATATGATTGGAATTCGATAATGGCTTGAGATGTGGTGGTTTGATTGATGGCGGTTCGAAGGAGATCAGATTGTTCCATGTAGTGGTGGATCTATTGAGATCGTGGTGGAATTGGTGGGTGGTGGTAAGGTCCGCGGTATTTGGTCTGTGAGCGAGGGCAGATACGGTATTGGTGGCTGACCCGGATCCGGCACCGGGTAGCGCTGCTCAAAAAAAAAGTCACGTGTAAGCCCAGCGAGAGGCGCTGCTATCGTCTCGGTAAACGGCTTCGGTACGGTAAATTTTACTGTACCGAAGCCCAAAATCCACAATCGTGTGAAAAACACCATTCGGTATCTATCGAATCGGTCAAAAATCGGTAGAGGTCCAGCAAATTTGCTGGACCTCTACCGAGTCGGTATTTCCACAATCTACCGAAAAGCTACCGAGACTCGAGTCTCGCCAAAGTCTCATCAAGGTTCCCAAATCCCTCTACTATCCCCCTCTACTATCCTTCCTTTCGATTTACTTTCACTATTCCATCTCAATCTTCATCTCATCTTTGTCTGAAATATCAACTCGTTATCAATCAAGATGGATCAAATCAATCAAGACTTCGACCATCAAACCACTCAAAATGATCAACTTAATCAAAATTCATCAAAGAAGAAAAAAAGCAACAACTGGTCCTCTGCCGAGGAAGTATTGCTCGCCGAGGCGTGGGTCCACGTCAGCCAGCTTCCCGAATTCGGCACGAACCAGACTGGCGAGACCTTTTACAAGCGAGTCACTGAACACCTCAATTCCAAATCGTCTTTTGGAACTCGAGATCTCAATTCGGTTCAAATCAAGTCAGTAGACATCATCGTTATCAAGTAGACATCATTGTGATCAAATGAATGAACTGATCATTTTCCTTTTTAGATGGGCCGCTTTGAAAACGGCTACGCTCAAGTTTAGTGGTTACTACGGTCAGATCGAACGCTCTCCTCCAAGTGGCACTGTCGAGTCCGACTGGCCAGAACTTGCGATCCAGCTTTACAACAAGCTCAACCCCAAAAAGCCACCCTTCAAATCCCTCGCAGCTTGGAGGGTGCTTTCAACTGCCCCCAAGTGGATTGTTCCACGACCTCCGCCTGGACCTTTGGCTTTGGCTATTGCTGCCATCCCCTCTAGCGAAGCCCTCTCGGATGGCACCGATACCAGTACTACTACATCTCATCCTCGTCCTTCTACCCCTCCTCGCCCGATTGGAATCAAGCAATCAAAACGCAAGCGTCAAGAAGACTCGATTGCTCAAGAACTCAAAGAAGCTCGTGATGAACAACTTAAAAGAAGTAATGAGTTAGCTGAAAGAAGAGTTCAAGCTCTCGAGGAAGGGAATGAAGTGGTGAAGCAGATGGCTAAAGCAGATGCTGAAGCCAAAGCTAGCCTTGTTCAAGTTAATGAACTCAAAGTCTTAATGATGTCTGAAGATAGCTGTCAAACACCTCTCGCTAAGGAGGTCTTGCAAATGATGCAACAACGTCTTAAAGAAAAATATCAAAGTCATGATACCTCCGCACCTTCCACTAGTAGTAATCAATTAGATTGAGTTTTAGAATTATATACTCAACTCAACGAGATCTTTTATAAAACACGAGTTATCAATTCTTTTTATCACTTGGTTGTTAGTTCATTGAATTGATTGTATTCTCTTTTTTTTTCAAAAACGAGTGATTTTCCACAAGTTGTTTTCTTGTCTTTCAAACATGTGATAGTCTTTGTTAAACAAGTTGTTTTCTTCTCTTTCAAACACGCGAGTTTCATACACAAGATTATGTTCTAGAAGAAATGCTACAACTGATTCCTTTTTCTTGCCTCACCACGTGCTAGCCAATTGTGAATTTTGAGATCATTCATCAGACGATGATGTATCTCAGCATTTTGTAAATCGAGCAGATTTGAGACCAATTGTGTTGGTGATTGTCGAATTCGGGGATCACGATGATTTGGGATTATAGTCGTGTTGGTAGGAAAATCAGTAACTTTGGGATCAACAAACTCCCTTTCCTCCACAATCATGTTGTGGAGAATAATGCAAGCGTACATGATTTGACGTATATTATGTAAGGACCAAAGACGACATGGCATTGCAAGAATATGCCATTGAGACTGGATTCCGCCAAAAGCTCGTTCGATGTCTTTTCGAGCGGCTTCTTGTAGCTTTGCATAGTACTCCGAAGCATCATCTTGTGGAGAATTGATAGTCTTGATTAAGACTGGCCATGCAGGGTAGATGCCATCTGCAAGGTAATATCCACGTGTATATTCATTATTGTTTACTGTAAAATTCAACCTTTCATCCGTTCCTGAACAACATGATCAGTGTTGTGAAGAATTCGAATGCAATGATGAAGAAATATTTACCACTTAAAAATCGGTCAAAAAGAGGGCTTTGATTGAGTACATTAATGTCGTTCAAAGAGCCAGGAACGCCAAAAAACGCGTGCCATATGCGTGTACTTTTTGAGGCCACCGCTTCTAGAACTATGGTGGTCTTTCTCTCTTTCCCCTGAAATTGTCCTGCCCAACCTGATGGACAATTCTTCCATACCCAATGCATTCCATCGATGGACCCTTTGCAACCCGGAAATCCACGAATTTCATACTCTTTCGTGATCTTCTCGAGCTCCTCTTCTGTTGGTGGGCGAAGGAACTCGGGTCCGTATATTTCAATAACACCTTGTACAAATTTTTTCAAGCACAAATTCGCAGTAGTCTCGCCAATTTCAACATATTCATCTACCATATCCGCTGAAACGCCATAAGCTAGCTGTCGTATCGCACTCGTTGCTTTTTGTATAGTCGATAAACCCAGCTGAAGGCAGCAATCCTACCAGGCACGCCAGATTGAAAAATGAAACATTAAGATATGGTAACAAGTTTTAAAAAAAGAACTACTGACATATCTTTGGACCCAAAATTTATCATGTGCTTCAAGTTTTACACAGATATCCAAAAACATCTCTTTGGACATCCTGAAACGCCGGTCAAATTCTACAGCCCAGCGGGCATCTACCTTAAAGTAATCATTTATGAGTCGAGCATGAGCCTCTTCTCTGTCCCTTTTTATCCGTCTTCGCCGATTCTTTTGCACACTAGTCATCTCCTCTTCGCTCAATTCTAACGCCAGGAAAGCCTCATCACTGTCGTCTTCGGATTCTCGTAGTCGACGCAGGTGATTACATAGCAGGTCGTTAGAGAGGAGCTCATTTATTTGCAGATTGTATTGTGGATCGTCGTCATCAGCCATGATCGATAAAGTTCTGTTGAAGTGTGAAAAGGTTTGAGATTGAGTTTGAGATTTACAGAAGATTTACAGAGGCGGAGAATTTTCACGATAGTGGGAAAACCAATATTCTGTACATCTGGTACCGTACCGATCCATCTTCTACCCAACGATAGTGGATTCTGACCGTTCGGTATTGAACAATACTGTACCGAGTGAGTACGTACAGAAATTTTACCGAAATTTTACTCGAACGATAGGAGATGCTCTAACGCAATTCATTCCCCTTGTTTTTCATATCCTTCTGTCACTGTCTAATCCCATACTTATGTCCCACTCGGACCCATTCTTGAGACGCCCTATTGCTTTGATTTTACTAGAGCAATCTAAACTTCAAATTCAGTGACAATATGCCCCTTTAGCAGCTTTAGCTCGTCAAAGCGCAAATCCCAACGCGATGGAATTAATGAGCAAAGCAGCGCTGTGCCATTTGGGTCATGTCAGGGAATGTCTGGATTGGGTTTGAATGCGGTCCTCTCTCGACCATTTCTTACCTTCCAAATTTGACTCGGCGGAGATACATCTCTAGCATGATTCTCGTACAAAAGAGAAAGCCTGTCGAACTTGATCGCTGCTGCAGGTCGGGAAATTATAATACCATCCAGAGAAGCGGGCCTCTCTTCACTTACTCCCTTCAGTATCTCCTTGATTGATATCCATCATTTTCACAACTTCCGAATGGCAACATACACGCAGATAACCTTGCTGAATTTTGTCCTTAAACTATCACCTGGCGATGGCGTTAACCCATACTCTCAGACAGAAGAACATCTCCAAGAGATGCTTCTAGTGCGTATGACAAGGACGTCTTGAGCTATTCTGTGGGCGTTTTTGGGCTCATTTTCTCCTGCTCTTTTCTCTTATACAGCCTCCTCCGATGCCCTCATGGAGTAGATCGATTCAGCGTGCTATCATAGCAATCTATGTACTGTGAGTATGCCTAACATTCAAGGAGCTAGTCTAAGTCTCTGAAAATAGGTGTACATCTTTTGCTGTGATTCTCTCAAAAGGATCTTCCTTTCATCATTTTTCCTCCTTGGTTGGCGGATCAAGACGAATAAATTTCTCTTCATCGGATTGAATGCTATGGGTTTGATCAAGTTTGACTGTATGAGCCTGGGTGCTATAGTGGGAACCATTTATAGCTCAGGTTAGTCGGAAGGATTTATTTTACCTATGTTTGACGGCGAGTCTCATTCCTTGCATGCTTCCACTGTAGTGACAATCACGGACTTGGTTTGGAAAGAGACCATAATGGATGGCTACCATGACCAATCCTGGCAGCTTATTCTATCTGGCTGCAAGTTTATTGTGGTATTGACTGGTTCCTGGTAAGTGTTCTTTAAAACATTCTGCTTATCAATACCAGAATAAATTTATCATTTTGTAATTTATCAAGGTGTGAGTGATACAACACATCTGGTCATCAAAAAGACTCTTGATTTGATGAAAACAAACGCGTTTTGTAGGCTTTCTGTGGGTCTGCATGGGGCATTGGCTACTTCAGAAAGCCAGAGATTCACACCGGGAGCTCAACAAATTCATACCGCCAGCCGTTGCTTGGTTAATGAACGGTGCATTCATAGTATTGACTATAGCTCCGATTGGTCAGCTTTTGTTTCAGCTTTCACTCTCTCATAGAACCTCTTAACTTTGTATCCAATCTGATCATGTACATATTTTATCAGCTCCCATCCTATGGAAATTCTTCCGGATCAATTCAGAATACTTGGCCATCAAGACAGCCTTAGCTCCAATCATGAATAATCTCCTACGTTCAGCAATCAATTATTCCCCAAACACTTACAGTCAAGCACTTCTGATAGCTCAACTACTTCCCGCTGAGGCCGCCCTCCCACACTTGGTTAGCCGCGTTCTGCATCTAAACATCACTGATTTTTCACAATTAACAATTTGAGAAATTTATCAAATGAAATAGGACACCATCGAGGAATACCTTCGGTTCCCAATAGTCTGTTATTTGAGCAGTGTCGTAATACTATCTGTGGTAGGTCCTGATTGACTCGCATGTTGTTGAGATTTCTCGAATCCTGATTACACATGTGATACTAGGCATACCTTCCATTCATTTACCTATTAGTCATAGATTCGCGTAAACTTCGTATCATGGCGGAAGTTGAGAAAGAAGAAGAGACTAAGTCTTATTTTGACGATGAAGCTGAGCGGATAAGATACTTGAACAATAAAATTCGACAGCAACACGACGCAGTGCTACAACATGTTGTGATGACCTACCTTTCAACGATAGTTTTTGTTCCAGTGCTCATTTGGCTGGTAAATCAATCTCTTTGAGAAATCTATCTACAACTGATGATCAAAATATGCTGATATTGATCTGACTTCTTGATCCTCAGTTCATCGGCTCATTTCAAGCTGCATATACAGTCAAGCCACATTGGTGGAACATTGCCTTGATTGTGAGGAAACTGATCTTTGAATCTCTGTGTTTGAACCAAGTGTACTGATTTTGACCTTTGTAAATCTACGTATCCAGGGGTTGCATGGTCCCTATGCGGTTGTAACTGCCATGTGAGTTTCAACTTCCACCTAACTGATCCGAATTATATTCTGATCAATTTGAATTCAATCATACTTCCTTGTAGCTCTATGTTCCTTCTGCAGAAGACTACGTCCTCAGTTTAGGCGGGCTTTTCGGTACGTATCAGGATACCAAAGGAGTATGTTTTCACCCCATGATGTGGAAGAAAGTTTGATTACAAACCTTAAGCTTTGGAAATTTCACATCTCCTCTTTCTTATAAACTGAATCCAATCTCTTCACATTCATTTCTTAATTTATAAGACCCGGTTGATCCAATTATTTGACTTGTCGACTTAATACTCATATTTTATGGTTCCTAATTTATTCTTCAATCACTCGAGTCTTGTTCTTGTTGATGAATCCATATCCGTATGAAGTAATTTAATCTTTTTACAAACTAAAGCACGAATTTCAAGTTCAACTACATAAAAGACTGAAATCATGATCATTGAGACCCTGTAACCGGTGACCACTAGTCCCACTGGTTGGGGAAATTTGAATTTTTGGTTATTGCTTTGCATTTTTCATCTCCTTGTACTTTTTCAAGTGTGAAACTGATAGTATGAGAAATTTGTATGCCAGACGCAAGCTACATCTTATGGAATTACCCACATTCCAAATCATACAACAATCAAATAAGTAAACCTCTCATGCTCACTTCTTGACAAAAATCAGTAGGAGCGGATGATTATTTTGATGGATAATACCTGATAATACGTCAAAAATATGAGCTCACAAATCCTTTTGAGTCTTGAAGTTGACATGATCAAAGAGAGTGATTCTCAATCTTCAAAACCCAAGATTTCTGAAATCCACTTCACTAGGTTTGAACATCATTATCCCTCCTTATATACAGACTGTAGGGCACTTCTAATCTCACAAGCTTAGTGTTCTGAGAAAGAGTTATCAAATATCTGATATTTAGGTACAAGACATATCACAGATGATGTTTGCACTTTTTAGATAGATCTCAGAACTCATCTAACAATCAATCATCATTAAGCAAATCACCCTTTAAAGAACACCTCGATCCTTCTCCACCAGCCCTGTTGAAGTTCCCGGTCTTATAACACCCACTTAACTTGTGATTTTCATCAAGCTATGATTCTATACAATTCTTGAGCTTCTCATCTATAGTTTTGATACCATCCTGGATTTCCTGTTATGTCAGAAGAGTATGTAGTACTAGTACAAATCATTATGGTGGTGTCAGTGGTACATTGTGAGGGTAGTGGCTCTTTTAAAGAAGGCTACACTCACTCAAAGGTGGTATTGGGACTAGGTATGTTATGGAGTATAATGGTTTATTATTATATTTCACAATATAAGTAGTTACAAGAGAAGAGGAAGATAAGAGGAAAGTGAGGTCCAGGAAGGATGATATGAGCATAAGATGGATGGAAGATACTTTTGCAACTAAGAGTCTGCTGGGACAAATCCTGGCAGACTACAGTTAGTTGACTCTTAAATAGGAGATTTAATTATGGAAAGTAATTCTTATTGAGAACTGAATACCATCCTTTCAGTAACAGGATAAAGAGTGATTATGAAGATCACTATCTATAAAGATTTGAATGAATCACTGCCTCAAAACAGGTATGACCTTTCAGAGGTATAATGACAATGAAGCTCTAGGAAATTGAGAAAACCTGAGGGCACAGGTGACATGTTAGACTAGAGCTACAAAGCTGGTCTACAAAAAAAGGTACTAAACTGACCTTTAAGAGGATCAGTCACCCACACACAAAGAAATAAATAAAAAGAGAAAAGATCAGAAAACACTATCTTGATAAAGACAAAAGAGAAAACTAGAAGTAATCTACCTGGGAGCTCAAAAGTAAACAAGATCACGCATAAAGGAATGTTTAGTTTTAAGAACAGACAGTAAAACTAATGAAGATCTTAAAACATAATCAGAAAGAGAAACATAACATAAAAAGATAAGAAACATTAGTGAATTGAGAAAACACACTGAGTTGAACATGAAGTGACTTACTGATTCTTTTTGATAAGGAAAAGAAATCAGAAGTGTTAGGGACAACACAAGCATATAAGAGACAGCAGAATGAAAAAAATCCACCCCTTGATCAATACCGCAACCGCTCCGCAACGCTATGGATTTTGGGCTATCTCCATTGCGTTGCGGAGCCTCCGCTATAATCCGCTCCCCACTGTGATCGCTATAAAACTTTAAAAAAGCCTCTTTGACTTGCGGAGCAAGAAGACCGCTAATTTTCCGCTACATAGCGCGCTATAGCGGAGGTTGCTATATAGTGCACTATATAGCGTTTCAGAGCGCTATAGCGCGCTATAGTGATCGATATAGGGCACTAAAGCCATAGAACCGTGTTCCAAATATATGTATTGTAAGTAAACAAACAATAAAAGGAAAGGTGGGCGTGTATCTTTAAACGTTAACAAAAATAAGAAATAGAACCTTCATTTTTATTTCAAATCTTTATCTTGAAGTTCAGAGGATAGAAACAATTTTTTTTATTTTTTAAATGATTATCTTGAGGTTAAGAGAAGGAGAATAGAGACAAAAAGAAATGATTTAAATCTTGATCTTGAAGATGAAAGGATATAAATGAAAATCTTGATCTTGAAGATGAAACAAGATAAATGAAAAAAGCTACTTTTTCTTTTTCTTGACAAGGCTTTTCATATAGACCTCAAGAGCTTCCGCAGCAGCTGCAAAATCACCGTCTGGTATGATGCCCTCTTTCATCCAGGATTGAGAGCCGACTAGGCGCTCCATGGTTTTGGGAACCATGCCGCCTCGTGAAGAGGTACAAACGTCAGCAGCGGCGGAAAACGTCTGCTCGCATGCACAAGATGTGGCAGATATTGCCAAGTAATCACGTGCGAGTGCTGCAAGAACAGGGAATCGATGCTCGTGTTCCTGCACAAGCACAAGAAGTGTGATTAGCAAAGTCAACAACCAAGAGTGAGAACGATGAGATTCAAACCTACCTTCCACCAAGTAAGTGGCGTTTGGTCCTTCCTGATAGGGCATTGCCCTTTCAAGTAATCGCTGAGCTCAGAGGTGTGTGATGATTTGTTTGTACTGTCATTGCAAACTCCGAAAATATCAAACGTGTCAGCATCGGTTGGGTCCAAGTCATTGTTTGATCCGTCCAGGCTTTCATCTTCTTGTGGTTCAGTTTGTTCCAAGGCTTTTTCAAAAGCGTTCTCAATGATTAAATTTGCAGATACATCGTGTTTGGGATAATGAATGGAAAAGAACTTTCCTCGAAATCGAGGGTTCAGGATGGTGGCCAAAACCACACATTCGCAATTGAGGGCCTCATCCTGGTATTTGGTAAGCCAATTGATCATCTCATTGATGGATTTGTCGATGCTAGGATAATCAATTGATTCATCTTGAAGCAGTTGGAGTTCGGTAATCACACGCTTGTATTCCGCAAGAAGTATGCAGCCGGTAGGGCCGTTGCCCTCGACTCGAGACGTCGCATCGACAAACGTCTATACATACATATGTGTATTAGATGCTCATTGTTAGTCTGATGTTCGATTTGGGCAAATTTATTAGAAAGAAACATTACTTGCCTTTAAAACCTTGTTGACCAATTCAACAGTGTGCCATTTGCCAGCTGAAATAGTGACACCCTTAAAGAAACATGCTTTGCAATCCGCGGCGAGCATTGAGTTTATTACCTGAAAATAATGGAGGACGCATTAAGAACAAGGAGAAATGTAAGGAGAATGAATGAAATACCTCGTGTGCTTCACAAGCGATCTTACAACTCTCTTAATGGCTATTCCATCGAGTCTTGCATGGCCGCTTGAGCATTCGTCCTTTGTATCCCATCCGAGAGGCACGTGCCTTGAAATTGCTTCGTCTAGCTGCACTACTAGCAATTTGCCCACTAACTGTATCAACCTTCATCAAGAAACAACAGTATATATCAATTATTTATCAGGCAGCTTGAAGAAAAGAAACCGAATAGAACTCACCTTTGCCAATGCAACAGCGACGATATCATCCTTCTCACAAACCAAGGCATCTGGATCACCCTC